TGCGGAGAACACCTTCTTGATGAGATTTCACAATTCAAAATACAATAGTAGTACTAGAACATTCGCGTAGTAGTACTAAGGAGTTCTTGGAAACCGGATGAGCATTCCATGTTATACGGAATCTGGGAGAGTCACTGAAGGTTTGACCAAATCAAGTCGTTTGCCCGCGACGTGCAGTTGTCCAGACATTAGGCATTGGGCAATAGTTTCAACTAACAGTGTAAACATGAGTAACAGGGTTCTCGTCGAGGTCTACTGGCACTGTAGTCCACGTGGAATAGGAAATTCAGGAACTTCCACCGGAGCGCCCACAACGCCAAGAAAACGGCACGCTTGAGCCTGAGCGATGGTCAAACAGTACGACTTGGTCCTCGCCTTGCCACTACCTATCCTGCGACAAGGCGAGGACCAAGTCGTACTGTATAACCATCGCCCAGCCTCAAGCGTGCGGGTACGAGCAAGGGTTCGCAATTCTACTACTGTAGCTGACAACCAATTTGGTTGTGAGCTTGAACCAAATAGCCGCAGCCTGCAGCAATGGTCAAGATAAGTGCGGTAGTGCAGATCGCCGCGTAGGATGGACGTGGAGCGCGACAAGTTGAAGCGCACTTCCTGGTAGACGCCATGGGCGAAGATAGCGACGAGCCTCCCCGGTCGAAGCGTCGACCAGGTCAAGACCCAGTGGCGGCGACTTGTTCGTCAACAACCCTCCTCACAACAGCCTTTGGATGCCGTGACGACGAAGAGTTTCGTCGACACAGACATCTCCATGGACGTCGGACGACAACAAGAAGCTCATGCACTTGTGTACGTCGACGACGTCCCTGCAACCGTCGTGGCTGTGGATTGCCTCGCACTTTCCCTCTCGCACCGACTTGCAATGTCGACAGCATTGGACGCACGTGTTGGATCCCGCATTGAAGAAGGGCAAAGGTATGAACGATCTCAACAACATACATCAGCATTGCCTCCTCATTGACGACCACCATGCTTGGGACACAGGCACATGGACGGACGAGGACGACCAGTTGCTCGGCATCTCATGTTGCGCCATGCCACAGGAGCCATGGACACTGGACGAAGACAGCATCGTGTTGGCGGCGGTGCTGATGGACGGCGGCAACGCGGCCCACCCCCCCCCGCGTCCACTTGCGACATTCGAGGCACCCATCTGCCGGACGCCGCCGCCGCCGCCGCTGGAGGAGGATGTGATGGAGGGGGTTTGGCGTATCCCCCATGTTTCAAGTATGGTCAATTCGATTCGAAATTGAAGTTCAATCGAATGCGCCGTCCCGGTACATTTATATAATATAAATAGCTATTTTTTTGTGTCTCAAATCCAATTATGTCGACGACTCGTACAACCGTTAGAAAAGTGTGTGCGCTAGCTACTGTATGTGGTGTATTTACAAAAAAAAACAAGAATGGTTTAGAAGTTGATGTTGAAATTAGTTTAGTAATAATAGACCACTACCGCGCTTAGTCGTTTCGGGATGCTTTGGCCAGCTCCATGGCTTCCTTTCGTTCGGCGCTAACGGCACGATAGGCCTCGAGGCGCCGATTTATCATGCGCTCCGTGTTGGGATCAAGATTGAGGAGATCCAGCTCCCCCACGAACCATCGGGTAAAGTTGAGGGCCTGGGTTCTCACGCGACCTTCGAGGTTGCGGGCGATGCGTTCGTTCTCCTTGGTCATGTTGTCAATATTGAAAATGACGTTCTTTATAAAATGGACTTGAAACCGTCATCACTAATTAGGATGTTACTAGTATCTATTACAAGTATTATAATACTTCGATTCAATAAAGTCCGTTTATGAAGACTTCTATTATAATGGATACTAGTATCTATTACTAGTATTATAATTCTTTGATTCAATAAAGTCCGTTTATGAAGACTTCTATAATCGATACTAGTATCTATTACTAGTATTATAATACTTCGATTCAATAAAGTCCGTTTATGAAGACTTCTATTATAATCGATACTACTTCGTTTCCACTTTGCCAACTCTTCGTAAAAAGCCTTAAAACCAGAGTTTAACCTCTTTGATTGATAAAAAATCCCTAAAACTACCGGTGGAATGGTTGGTGTTGGGGTGGTGAGGAAAACCAAGCCCTACTCCACCTGACACCTGTGACAGTGCATTACATCACACCACATGATTATTGGGGTTAATTGAGTTTCATTATAAAGACATTCCTCCGCGAGGGTCGATACTAGAACCACATGTCTTAAAAATGATAATCCAAACTCAATTAACTAGAACCACATGTTGTGGAACCGCTTCGCCAATTGTAACGCGCCTGCTCAACCAGGGGCGGTGTGTAATCTTCGGTTTTTACTTCGCCCAACGCTTCATACCTCGTGCTTCGACCGATCTTCTTCGAAGTTCGGTCCTCGTAGCCCTTGTTATCCGGATTCCCCAGGGATAAATCCTTTCGGAAATAATCCGGGGAAATCGCAGGAGCGATACTTACGATGTAATAAACCAATCAGAATCACTGAAAATGAAATATAAGTGACCAACAAGATTGAAAGCAGGGGGTTGATCGCAAGAGTTGTATAGGATCCGCTGATGCGGCCAGGTACACATACGGAGTCTCGTCGGTTGAGAATTCGCGGATTTACGCACCAAGCATGCCATGCAAAGTGTTAGTTATTAGTATTCGAATAACGTTACTATTAATAGTACTACTACCGGTAGTACTTGGAAGTAATCGTAAGTTTTTCTAGTTCTTAATAAATAAGTTATTTATTTACTCAACTGGGAAAAATAGAATGTATATATCATCCTCCAGAAAAGATAAATAATCTATCAACCCACTGGTTGAGAATCGATTAAAAATATAGATTTGAGGGGTCAAAGAGCTAGAGAATACGGTGGCTCCGACGAGCTTGGTCCTGGCCCACGCGCATCACGACGTGGTCGAGGTCTTCGCGGCGTCGTTGATTCAAAATGCGTGGCCTGCAGGAAGTATCCTTAGGGGCCAAGGAAGCCTGGCCGCTTGGCGTTTGCAACTGTGTAGACACATCAAGTCTGTGTGTTTACCGACTGGCCACCCGTCAAAGCCATAAAGTACAATGACACGCTACCACCGGAGTTCAGGGTATGTGAAGGGAATCTGGTGAGTACCGCGGATCACACCATACCAACTACCCTAGAGAACTGGGCCAACTCAGTATGATATGTGGTCCGTGTATGTATGGTGTTGGTGAGATCGGTAGTACTGTACCGGTAGCGAGTTTACAGTTTGCGATAGCAACCAGCGATTTTTTTTCATAGAATTACATATTCTATGTGGAAATTTATTGGGAATCGAAGTATGGAGTCGTAATTCGATGAAACCTCAAAACGTGATCAATAGAACGCCCGAAACGAAGGAATGCACGTCATTTTTTACTGTATAACCAAGTATCTACCGTATGATAAACTTGATGGTCACTAAATATATCATGACTTAAAACTATCTCTACAAATGCATCCGGATAAAATAAGGTCGCTGGTTTCTGTATGGAAATTAATACCTAACGCATACTGTTAGGACGAATCGAACGATCTCAAAACTTGAAGGAAAAATATTCATTGATTTTTTTTAATAGAGATTGTACAACAACCAACAAGGAGTAAGCGAAGTATACTGAAAAAAGCTTAAATTAACCGCAAAAAGGCGGTATTAATAGCAACCTTAATATCAAATTGTTTCAAATCGCAGTTTTGCATCTACAAAGGCGAATCCCGTTATGAACTAATAGTATTCACTTGAAAGTCTCAGCCACTTGGAAAACAGATACTATTAATAGTACTACGTAGTACACGACAGACCGCGACGAAGTATTGCAAGCACGACTGGCTGAAGTACACCGAGAACACTCCAAAGCGTTGGCCATCGCCGCGTCTGCAGCCGAGGATGCTCACCGAAATACCGCGGCGCGCTTGAATGCTGCTGAAGTGGGTGCGGCCATTCGAGTTGCTCTACAGAGCAAGATGCGCGTCGAGCCGAAGCCGAGGGTGTTCACATGACCGATCAGATTCGACGATTAATCGGAGACTATGCTTCGACCTCCAGTTCTGACTTGGCCCCCGGCGAATTGTTTACCTGGCTTGAAACTGTCCTGCTTCGAATGTCGGGTGAAATGGAAGAACTACGGCGGCAAATTGGCGTGCTGACGGACGAGAATGGGGGGTTGATCACCAGTTTGGCTAGTGAGCGTGACGAGCTTCTGGCGACCCGAAACGATCTAACTGAGCTCCGGCAGAACCACGAGACCCTCGAAACACAGCTTCGGGCATCGCGAGCCGACTTTCGGAGTGCCCAAGCGTTGGTAACAGCTGAAGTACCCAAATTTTGGAACTGGGTGGTGTCGAATTTCATGACCAGTGGACACGAAGGACTTACCGCTTTGGTCGAGGCGTGGCGGAAAGACGACCCGACTCCCTTCGTTGTGGGTTGTTGTATGCCCTTCGTCATTACGCCAAACCAACGTGCCCTCGGGGACCATGCTCCATTTTGCCTCCCGGACACGTGCTTTGGAGCTTCGTTTTACGCACTGAATCAGTTAACTATTGGGGAGTGCCTTCAAGCCCCCACTGCCCCTGCACCCCCGTCTTTGGTCTCTCAAGTAGCATCCGCCCAGCAATCTTCGTCGACGACCAGTCAAGTTGGACAACCGGCAGGACTCGTAACGACTGTGAGAGTTCCGTCAGGCCCATTGCCAGCGAATGTTCCGAAGGTTACGCCCGGTTCAGTCTGTAAGCGTCCAGGGATCATTTTGTCCACTCCAGACGCGAAACGAACGAAATCAAAAAGTCATCGGGCTCAGACGTCAAGACCGCTCACTGCCGTGTCCTTTTCGATAGCGCCGGCAGCGACGCAGAAGTCGCTTAGTTCCGACGTCCTTGCGGCATACAAAGCAGCGATTGCCCGATGACCATGGGAACGTTATCACTCCGTGAAATCCTTCATCCTTTTGGAGATTCTTGTTAAGCCCCACTGGCGAGACCTCCAGACGGCGATGGATCAGTTTTGGGCCGATTGGGCGGAGTTTCTGTGGGCCCGTTGGTTCTTTGTCAAGCATGAGTCTTCGGAGGCTGAGATTGAGCGGGCTTGTTTCGGCTTATCGGCTCTGTTCGGGGCCCTGTATCGCCTCATGATCGCGGAACGCAGCGACGACGTACTTCATTTCCTGTGTTATCTTCATGCGTCGTGGCCTATTTGGTTGCACCATGCGTTGAAGTTGAAATCCATGGCGCGCCTAGGAGACCACGTGGCGATCAAGTTTATCAACGACGAGTCTGGGGCGTGGTGGCCATGTGTCCCCAAGAAATTGGTGTCCACGCAATGGTCAGCCCCCGCGATGTCATCCCTGCGCCTGATCCATCGTCGGTCCGTTCGCGAGAAAAGCGTGGATGCGTTTCATTCTGCCGGTGGTTACACGAAGGCCGATGTTGAACGTTTCCTGGGGGAAATGTCGGCCAAGGTGGATCAATTCCTGGCCCATGGATCGTGGCCGGCTTCATATCCTTTCGTAACTTCACGCGAGTCTGAGTTGATCGAGCCTGCAGTGGCGTCTTGGTCGATTAACTTAAGTCAACCACCCACCGTTTGGATAACAGGCCACTCGGCATCAGGAGACCCCCCGCCCGCGACTCAGATCGGAGCCTTGGCTACTGAGGTGGCACATGAGCTTTGTTATTCAGTCGTTCAAACCTCAAATACGCCCGGTCCTGATGATATGGACGTAATTAGCTTATAGAACTTAGTAGTTGTTCGTTTCGTTGGTTGGATTCTATTGCAGTGGAAATTATACTACGCGGACACTGTGCCTACCCTGACGTTGGGGCAAATCGAATAAATTGGTGGCCCTTTCCTTGGATCGACCGGCCGTGTGTCTCTCGTTCGGCTCATCCATGATTGGTAGAAAACAATCACGCTGAAATTTTCAACCAATCACCTGCAACATTTTTGAGTTTGAGAGGTAACTGGATAAAATCAAGAGGCTCGGAACTGTTTTCAGCCTATGAATGTTTTCACCATTTTGGTTCATTTTCCATCAACACCAATACAGTACGAATTTCGACATGGTTTTAACTGTAAGTCCAACGAACTGCATTCATTCTCCACGAGAAATACTGCTTAGAAGTATTATTTGAATAAAGGAACCCCTCCATCAAAAGTGTCACGGAACCCTACCCATTCGTACATGTATACCTTGCACGTTTTCACACTGAATCACAATTGGAGGCAGGGCGTGCTGGGCGCAGTCGTGCAAGTCCCACAGGTCATGTCAACGTTTCCGCCAACACCAGTCCCATCAGAAACGGACGATTTTCAGCCAGTGTCCGGAGTCAGAGGTATGGCACTTTCAACACCCGTGAACATGGCAGCCACCGAAAGCGATATGACACCGCTAACGTTAGTGCTAATGATTGACGATCCAGTGGTCAAGGATATGTCTCCTCTATGCACTGCACTGCTAAACCAGTCGAGCCTATGCCAGCAGACACAGTAATTGCCCGGAGTCAATCAATTCCACGTTGCCAACAAACAACCAGTCCGGCACCACGGACGATGCATGATTCTTCCAGTGGATACGGAACTAGCGTCCGCAGTACCGGTAAATGTGATGGCTCCTACAGTTGTAATGATCGCACCACCCGTTCCTCCCGTGATGGACCAGTGGTGAATTGAACTGCACCAGACGTGACACCAACGGCTGCAGCTGTAGAAATGTCGGGTGCGCATTTTTTTCGAGCAAACGATGGAGCACTTAGAATGGATTGATTTCGAGCAAAATAGTCCAGAGAGACACTTTCCGAGCGCACTTAATAGGCACAAGAACATGTGTTCGTCATTGGTGAATTTCCTAGCAAAAAAATAATCATATGGTTATTAAAATGCCAAGTAGAGCGGCGCCTCTACAGTAACGTTAATGATCAGGAAGTCCGATGGTCACCCACCTCGCAGCTTACTATGGGAGCGTTCCTCGACCATTCTGCAAGGAACGTATGTGCGACAATTGTCAGATTGATCGGCCTGTCTATGACGCAATGCAATGATGGCGATTAGCCAATCAAACTAGTGATACAGTTAGGCTGTGAACTGTACTACGTACTACAATGTATTAATACTACCGTATACCCCCCGCTTCAGTACCTATGATTTCTCCGGTTGGACCTGTACCGGTTTGGAACATATCGGACATTTTCATGGTTCACAGTCAGGTTGGGCGTGTACCTAGTTGTCTCTAATTGGACAGAAATATCCAATCACCATGAGTTAATTATTTTCATCCAATGAAATATAAGTCGTGTGATGGATTTAGACCAATGCGCATGCCTGAATAGTTTTCAAGGTACCGCTTGGAGCTGTACCGGTTTTCATAGGTACTGAAGCGGGGGGTATACAGTAGTAAGCTGCAGCATTCACAGTCAATTCTTGTACTTGAATGGGCTGCTTAGCTTTCTAACGCATATGCCATTGACGGCTACAGCGTTAATTGCAGTATAATGTAATATCCAAGCATGCACAACCTCATTCAATGCGCGGAGCCATAGTCGATATAATAGGAGGGTGCTTTTCACAACAAGGTATGCTCAAATTAAAAAGAGTGAAGAAGTATGGCTCGAACCTGCAACCTCTGGCCTTTTTGCTAGACGCTTAACCATGACACTATTCAGACAACTTGTTAGTCATTTGGCTCGGTCCTATCTAATGGACATGGCACGTTGAAGGAAAGGTGTACTACACCATTTTGCGTTTACTGTTAATTCCAGCTTTTTTTCAAAATATTTCCACTAACCTCCGATATATTTCACCGAATCGCCAATATAATTCACCCAACCTCCATTATATTTCACGCCGAATT